ACAGGGATTATACTGCACTGAGGTTCGTCTTGGACCTTATCAAAGGTGAAAACCTTTATATAATGAGAACAAAGATTTTAAAAATAGAAGCTCTAAAGTCACTGATAATAGGAAAATCTGATTTTTGACAGCCAATATAAACGACCTCTTTCAGTTACTTGCACTACTCCCGGTAGACGTGTAATCATCTGTTCAACCTCAGAGTCTGTGAGGCACAGAACAGTTTCTGGGCAAAATTCTTGCAACTGACATGCCTACTTCAAAATATTTCCAGTCATTCAACAAGAATTTACAATTCTATCAATGTGCTATGTACAGTAAACCAAAACAGCATTTTAGAAATTTCTTTTCTCAGCTCTAACCCCATAGTTAGATAGATAACACCAACATATATGAAAGCTTTAGCACAGAGAAGAGAATTGCATATACCAAATACTCTTGTACACAGTACATCTGCCGGTATAAAGAACAAGGAATTGAAGAAATGCCTGGGTGCGTTTGCCTACCATAAGGGAAGTAAGAAGACCCAACTTAGTTGCAAAAGTCAGCAGGGCAGAAAGGAGCAAGGATTTAGGGAGTCTTGGTAATGAAAAGCTGAATATTATATTTGACACTTTCAGCAAAGAGGAGGTAAGAGTAAATTATACATTTAAAATAAAAATAGAGGTCATAATTATTATAATGATTGTTAATCAATTCCCACCTAGCGACAGTCTCCACTGGTTCTCTGTTAGCAAAATCTGAGATCCCTCAGCCTTGATCTGATGTCGCAGTTCTATGTAGTTCGCTCATCCACATCCTTCCTTCCTGAACCCAGAATATCCATCTGCCTTCTTTCTGAGTCCTATTGTGTATGATCCTTAATCTTCAACCAACTTCTCCCCTCTTTTAATTTTTTGAAGGAAAAACTCACTCTTCCTTGAAAGGTCATTTTCCTTGATGCCCTTTTCTATGGATGAAAACAATATATACGACATTTCTTCACTTCTCACTATTCCTCTGCTGAAATTTTTTTTCTTTCCTTTCTTGTTTTTTTTTTTTTTTTTTTTTGGTTCATCAAGACCATTATCTAGATTATGGAAATAGGTTCTCTTTAGTGTCCCTTCTTCTAGTCAGAATAGCAAATAGTAGTGTCAGTAGTAATAATAGTTGTTTATTTATTAAGAACCTTCTAGGGCTGAGGGTATAGCACAGTGCGAGCATGTGCCTAGAACGTGCAAGCCCTGAGTTCAATCCCAACAGTGAAAAAATGAAAACCCTTTCTATGTGCTAGAAGAATCCATACAACTTCTCACAATAGGTGATGTCAACTCCACATTGCAGGGGATGAAACTCAGTATATGGGCAGGTTAAGTACTCTCTTTAGTAAATTTTAGTGGTTTACAACCTAATTCTGCTCACTTGTCAAAACTGACATATCTAAACTTCAAAGTGCTTTCGTCATTCCCCTGCTTAAACCTCTCCAAGACTGAATTCCTGAGGCTGGTGCACACGACATGGCCCCCCAGCTGCATCCCTCCCCACTGATTGCTCCCAAATTACACTCTGGTTTCATCAAGATGCCCACGGTTCTCCGTACCAACAAAGTAGTTCCATGGCCTACATTTCTGTTCATTCAGTTTCCTCTATCCAAAATACCTTTTCTATCTTTGACTCAGTTGTCAAGGTATCTTTTTTAGAGACAGCTCCCTGAAGTGCCCAGGTGGGCTAAAGCTCTCCATGGAGCTTCTGTAGCCAGAAGAGTGCCCGCAGCCTAACCTTCCACATCATGTGGAAATAGGCACATATGGGTGCCTTCTCCTTGGACAGAGGGGTGATCAACGTTTCATTTTGTGTACACCACGCCTCCACCACACCAAACAGTGTCTGACACAAGAAAGCCACGCATGCTGTTTGTGGGTCCGAAGGGGACACACAAAATAGGGTCACTCCCCAACCCCACTGCCATTTCTTGAGCATGGAACTGACATGCCAATATTACAAACCTTCAGGATGTAGACTAACTACTGCAGTCACCAGTAAACATTTTTATAATTTTTTCTTATAATCACTTTTGTCAAAATCAAAATGCATATTAATGAGTTTTCATCATTATTTGACTTTATAGATCTCTTTTTCCTTAATGACACCAACTTCCACCTCATCACCAGAGTAATCAAGTGCTAGAGATTTGTCTTCTTGATGTGCTCTGTGACATTATCTGAAGTGGCAGCAAGTTAAAGTTTAATTAGTAGACTTTGAGCAGCTGCTGTGTTTTGCATCCTAATGTATACCTCACGTATTTCTCTTAGCAGTCTAGAGACCATTTTACTCATCAGTTTCCTACTTCTTCACATCAAGCTCCACTCTGTACTTTATTGGCAGCTCTAATGCTCTTAATCAAAAATCCTTCTGAGACCGTATGTTTCATTCTTGCCATTCTTAGAACTGTAGCAAATCATCCCACCAGAAGACATTAGCCTAGTATCTCCATCTAGAGGGTATTCCTTACAACAGGTGGATCCTGATGGGGTCCTCACTTTCTCCAAAAATTTTACTCTTACAAAAATCCCCCTTTTGCTGGGGATATAGCTCAGCAGCACAAACGCTTGCCTGACAAGGGCAAGGTTCTGAGTTTGATTCCCAGTACCAAAAAAAAAAATAATAATCCCCCTTTCAGCTAGGCATGGTGGGGTATACTTGTCATCCTAATACATTCTGGGAAGCTGAGGCGGGTGGATTGCAAGTTCAAGCCCAACCTGGATAATTTTGCTACTCAGTGAAACCCTATCTCAAAATAAAAAATTAAAACCAGGCTGTAATATAGCTCTCTGTAAAGGCTCTGGGTTTTATCCATAGTATCACAAAAAGTACCTTTAGGGGGTTTGTTTGTTTATTTGCTTGTTTGTTTCGAGACAAGCTCTCACTATGTAGTCTAGGCTGGCAAAAACTCATGATACTACTACCTTAGCCTCCCACATGCTGAAATTACAGGTCTGCACCACCGTGCCTGGCACCAAGTAAATTCATTATTGATTGATATTTTTCTTTCTCCCACTAGAACTCAAACCCTTAAGTATATGGGTCATGTTCTATTCATGTTTCCATTTCCAGCCCTGGTACACTGTATTACACACAGCAAGGTTTAATTAATGTTTGCTAAATGAAGATTCATTACCTTCTACTGCTTTAAAACCTTAGTCACAAAAGATCTTTCACTTACGTGAAAGTTAAGAACAGACAATTGAGGGCGTCAGAGATTAGATTAGTAGTAGTTCAAGACTGGGTGGAAGGATGTAAGCACAGCACAGGGAACTGATTACTAGTGGGGAAGAGGCTCCTTTTAGAGAGGTCAAACCTGACGATGGTGATACAAGCCTGTGAATATCATTTAAAAATTGGCATGCATTCTAATGATAATGTTAAGGGTGGCCATGCAATCGGGGAACAATAAGTTCTCCTGTTGATCCTCCTTTTTTTTCATTATTTTTCAATGGTTTTCTGGAGGTATGATTCATACACCATACAATCCTTCATTATTAATACAGGATACTCTACTATATACATTCCACCATACATTCATACACCATACAGTCCTTCATTATTAATACAGGATACTCTACTACAAACCTTATAAAAATAGACTATCTTATTCAACTCGGTATACTCAGGACCTGTCACAGTGTTCAGAAGTTAGCAAATGCTCACTGCATAGCTCTAAATTTAATTCTAGAAATATACCTAAGCTATATTCAGTTAAATACAGCTTTTGGTAGGTTTATTTGGTGGGTGCAACCCATCATTTATAAAATCATTTCCAGGGAAAAAATGTACATTCAAAACAAAAATGAAACTCTAGTAGAAGCCTTCTAATACTTTTGTTCTCATAAACAAACTAGAGCATATACTACCAGTCCTACAAGCCAATTTTCCCTAGTGATCTCTAGTAACCCTTAGGTTACTTTTTATAACAAATCCAGAGTGTTCCAATCTCCGGGTTATGCAATAGTATTGCTGAAAGAAAGACTTTTGAGGAATGATACATACCTTCTTCAAAGTAAATCCAGTATTTTTTTAATAGGAGAGTTCTTTTTAGGAGGTTCTCAGCATATACAGAAAAGAGAATGGGGCTTTAAACATTCCTGCTGAATGAGCCAGAGAAAACATGGAGAGCCCTTTCTACCAGTACACGGCCCTATCTTTCTCTTTTCCATTTTTTGTTTATTGTTTGTTAAGCTTCCTTTTATTCCCACTGCATTTTTAAAATAAAATCTGATGTAAAGGAATCCATTAGTGACAAATGTCATCTACCAAAGATGCTGATTTTGAACCAGGATCATTACTGAGATGGTACTGTCAATAAGTCTCATAATGACACATTCTCTATTCTAAAATTTACACCAATGATTACTGAACTCACCATGAAACAGTTTTAAGGGTAAAGCACCAGCCTCACTTGGAATACTTCAGGTAACGCCAGACAAGGAGCCCATTCCTCCAATTCTTATGGGATGAGTCGACAGCATAATCTTTATTTTACCTCTGCCTCAGAGAACTGCACTTGCTAGAGGTTATGTGTGTGGTTACAGGTTCAAGGTTAGAGATAAGGTATAACTTTAAGGTTAGACAACTTTTTTCCCTGATTCTCTACTAGCAGATCAAGGATTATTCCATTAGACTGTGGTGTTGTTCAGCTTGTTAAATTCCTCTTATCTAATTATCAGAGTAAGAAAAGTACATACCATGTAAGTGTTAATTGAGAACATTTGTCTCATTGGAACAAAATGCTTACCATTTCATAAAAGTTCTTATTGTGACCAAAACAGTTCACCATTTTAAAAATCAAATTGCATTACTTGCAAGCTCTTTGAAGCAGGGGTCTTCTCTTTTACCACCAACCCACCCAGAGCAGCTTACTCCTAGAGGAGATGCCGTGAAAACGGAGTAGAGAGCAAATACATGATTGGGGTACCTTGAGTATTTCATAGGCTTTACTGGAATGTTTTCACGTAATTGCTTACCTCTTCCAGTTGGCATGCCTTGATAACACTCCTGTATCTGTACTCATCATAGGCAACACCAAAGACGATGTTTTCTTTGATGCTGCCAGGCATGATCCAGGAAAACTGTGAGCAGAATGAAATTCTTCCACTGTGTTTGATTTTACCTTCTGAAGGCTCCAGTTCTCCGAGAATCATCATTAAAAGTGAAGTCTGAAAGTAAAAGTCGTCATTGTTAGATTATTCCACCAAGCTCCTCTCAGGGTTCATTGCCTCCTATTAGGATCCTTAACAAAGCTATCTACCCTGTTTTAAAAGATTCTATTAAGTCCGCGACTCAAAATGCTTTAGTGACTGCCCATCCCAGGTACTCTGCCAGGCGTGAAAGACTCCACATAAATGAATGCCACAGTTATAGCACGGAGTTAGAGCTGCTGTGATAGAAGCTCACAGGGAAGCGGCACCTACTTCAGACTGCCGGGATGGGTGTAGAGGAGGTTTGGGAAAGATGAATACAACTACCACTTGTTGATTGCTCACTCTGCAGGTTGGGTGCCCTGTGCCTTAACTGTATTAATTTGTTTATTTCTTACAATATCCCATGAGGCATATTTAATATTTTCATTTTACAAATGAGAAACTGTATAAAAAAGGTATATTCATGTAATATTGTTCCACAAACCTTTTTTTTTCAAGAAATGCTAGCCCATGTTTGTAATCACAGATAGTCCAAAAAAATTATCAGTGAGCAAAGATGTGAACTAAAATTAAAATAAATGGTAGAATTTGAGTTGAAGAACGAATGTAAGTATATCATATGCTCCGTCAATAAGAAAAGTATAAGTGAAAACCAAATACACAAAACAAAGGATATATAGGATATAAGAGAAATTTTCTGTTGCTTTATCAAGCAAAGCTGCAAGTTCAAAGGATCATCATTTAAAGCTAACAAATCAAGTCAGACAAGCATATTGAACAAAACAAAGATAAACATTAAGAAAGATAATATCGAGTAAAGCTAAATAGAAGAAAGGGAGGTGGAAGCAGAAGAAAAAGTACTGAATTTTATCAGAGCTCATACAAATGAACTAAAGATACAGAGGGGAAAGATTTAAAATAAAGTTAGTATACATATCATCTCTAGAGCGGAATGCAGACTTTCCTTTAAAAGTCATACTGCGGGCATCCCTTGATATCTGGGGCCTGGGGTGGGGCCCTTCCCCTCCATGCAAGCAACAAGCCCTGCGGGTGCCCAGGGCCCTTCTATAAAGTGGTGCAGTGTTTGCAACCTTTACCCATCCTCCCTTATACTCACAAAACCTCATAAAACATAAATTCTAAGTAAATAGTTTATATGTATTATTTAGGGAGCAATGGCAAAAAGCCTGTACATACTCAGCACAGACACATTTGTTTCTTCTAATATTTGGCCTGTGGTTAGTTGAAGCCCAGAATACAGCATCCAGACAGATCTAAGCCTATCCGTGTGTGCCTATTCAATGACGTTTCCATTCATCTTCATATCTCCCAAAATATTGATAAAACTCCTTGCAGACATTTACACTTTGTTTAAAAAGTAAACAAAATGTGAGCTAATAGGTTATTCTACGCCTCTGATGCCCCACTGCAAGGCCAACCTCTGGATTCAGTACCAGAATGACTCAAGGATGGATGGTAGAGACCACGTGGTGTCAGGGATTGCCACCAGGTCACAGAACTGCTCAGCTGTGGCTGGAACCACAGAAGGACTGAAAACCCCCCACCCCAGTCTGATGTCAGATGCCGGCTTTCAGTCAAGGGTACCGTGGTGCAGACTCCTGCACCAACAACCCAAGGTTGAAAAATAACAAAACGCACTTTCCGAAAGACGTTTAATTAAAATTTGGGCACTACGCTTATTGCATGCTAGGCACCATGTATGATAGTCCTTGGATTACAAGTGAAGATGTTGTGCTAGATATCTGGACAACTGTAATAAGGGAGCAATAAACATTAAACATGACCGTACTGCTTTATCAATAAGATACATTAATTTCCCGAAGCTTTGAAAAATCCAGAGATGTAAAATATACTCAAAGTCTCACATACAAACTTAATGCCTTTGTCCTTGGATATATAAAATATATAAAATATGGATCATAATATACAGACCTTTCATCATCTAACAGTACATATCATACACATTCTTCAAAGTAATTCTTTAAGAGCCAGTTAGCTGATGTAATAACATGCCATTTTATATTACACCAGAATTTATCCGACCAATTCCCTACTCTTAGTCATTTATGAAGTTTCTTCTCAGTATTTGGCTATTCAAAGCAATATTGAAAGCCAGTCTTCTTTACTGTCTTAGTATATTTCCGGAGATGTTTTTATATGTATGGAATCAATATACATTTTATTGATCCTCACCTTTTTTTAATATAAAAAAAACCATAAGACAGTTTTATTCCTTGCTTTTCTCACTAAGTATATACCTTAGATAATTTTCCATACTCAAAGAATACAAAACTTCCACATATATACACACTTCTATTATATGCAAATAAAATTCCAGATGCATATAATCTCTATAAATATATTAAAATATGCTATACAAATAGAAGTCCTACAGGTTATTTTCAAGGCTTTTGGTACAAATTTAAAAATTGAGCGAGTTGAAATTTCACTTAAAATGTGAATATTTTTAATCTTAAATTTTTGCTATATCTTTTATCCAGTGAAAGATAAAATGCTCCATTCCTAACACTATAGAACAGCAGCCTCCTCAATTAACTTGGAAAACTCAAAATTGTGTAGTTCTTCCTGAAAGACCACAGCCTTCTTCTGACTAGTTTCCTAGCTGCTTCCATCAGATGCAAGTGCAGCTCCAGCCAGTAATTATCTGCTCATCAATTTTTAATAGAACTGTGTGAAATTTAATTGCTGATCTCACAATTGGTAATTTCAAAGCTATTTTTGCACATCTTTCATATAATTGATCTTATATACATAAACAATTAATTTTTAAAATTCTATTAAGTCCAAGTCCTAACCTCTCACAAGCAAACATCCTTGTAGATCACCTTCTTAATTAAGGATTGCTGTTTAATAGTGAAAATTACCAGCAATACTATCAAGAAACCATGAAAAAAATCAGAGAAGAAAGATTTTTCAAAAGTAGCTAAAGCGTACTTATAGCTGGTTTATTTTAAAGGCCTATGTCATGAGTAGGAAAATAACTAGAGAGAGAAATAAGCAAATTGTGTCGCCAGCACTGTGGATGCCACATTCATCTACTAAGTATTTTCTCTGGCACTTTCTTTCCCACGTCTCAGACTAAATTCTTCCATGCACAGCACTCTCTTCAAATATGTGTAAATAATTGCCTTCCAGGAGTCTTAATTTCTCTTTTCATTTACATTTTTACCTTATGACAGCCCTTCTTCTTTCCCCTTCCCTCCTCCTTCTCAAATCTTCCTACCTCCCTTCCTTCTTTCTTTTTCATTCCCTTTTTTCTGTCTTACTTACTTGGATAGAATTCTATAAAGTATTTTGAAAAGTTTCAAAAAAATCACTAAATTTTTCTAATATTTTTAGGAAGTCCCATAGTTAACAAGATGTTCAAATGGGATCAAGAACCTATTTTTATACACCCCACAGCAAATACCTGGCTCCCTTACTAGTCCATTCCAATACAATGGACTACTAAGGAAGGAGGAACTTTCTTCTCTCTAATTTGACTCCTTTGTATCCTTTAACTGCATTTCTTCAGTAGTTAAAAATGTACATGTTTATCATTATCTGCATGATAACTCATATCTTTGAAGATCACTATGAAGTTTCTTCTGATAATAAAGTCTAACCTTTTAGTTGTTTTTCTTCTAAACTACTAGTTTTTGTCAGACATATCTGCAAAAACCTTGAGTTTATGTAAGTTGTTCTTGGCACTGTGTAAAGAAGACAACTGCTGAATAAATTAAGGTTTTCTCAAAAAAAACCCCTCTCCCATTCAATAGTTTTTCACAATATATCAGAAGCAAGACTGAGTCCATTCTCCAAATTTCTAACATCAACAGAACAGGGACTCTTTGTGTATATGGCTACCGAGGTCAAAGCTAAGTGATGATTTTCCTGTACCAGCTATAAAAAGGTGTGCTAAAGACTGGTAAAAATGGGTGGCTTAGTTGTTCAGTAGTTACTGAAAACCCCCCATATTCAAGATACTGTGTTAAGTGCTATGCAAAACAGAAAGGCAAAGAAAAATGTCAATAGAAATAATATAAGGAAATAAAAAGGTAGAGAAAATTATCAGTGCAACTACTTGTAAGGGACACTGCACCCAAGCATTCTAATACCCCTGTAAGAATTCCTCCAAATTATCTTTCTCTGGGTACTGGGAAATGAACTCAGGACCTTGTGCTTGCCAAGCAGGGGCTGTGCCGCCATCTCCACGGCCCCTACCTTACCTTCTTAAGCTGTAGACTCATCGGGGGGAAAAACGATAAACGCATGCCAAATTAAATTCTTAATGATGAAGAAAAAAGACTACCTTGCCTGCTCCAGTAGACCCAGCCACAGCCAACAACTGTCCTTTTTCTATCTTGAAGTTGATATCTTTTAAGACAGGGCTACCGAGAAGGGAGAAGTTACTGAAGAAGAGGCTGCTATCACCATTGGAAATCTTTCGATTGTTGTTCAGTTTTGCTTTCTCAAATAACTCCCCAAATCCCTGTGAAAAATAAGAGATATGTATTTCAGATCTTTTCCATAGGTACTTGTTTTATATAATACTAGTTTGAAAGGCACATGGCACACAATCCACTTTTACAACAAATAGTTTTACTTTATAGTATATAATTACACAGTACATGGTTTCTAGAGCACATGATCAAAACATTTAAAAGTTATTAATATAGTATTCATGGAAACACAATACCTTTTCCTCAGATCCTTGCTTATTAGTAAGTTTTAAATATAAATTTAGCTTAAAATCACACACACACACCTACTCCTACAAGCTAAGTACATATATATTCTTGTTTAAGCCTGAGCATGCTATACAAGGTAGATTTCACAATCTTCTTCTTTCAAAGCCACAGTTTCTGACTGTGAAAGGATAAACAGCCTCAATCACAAAACCAATAGGTCACAGAAAGGAATTATAGATCAAGTCTGACTTCTACCCTGGTACCTCCTTCCTCTGAGGAACTCAAAGCATTTCTTTAGTTAAGGTGGGCTACAAATGTGATGAGATTGCCGGGTGATGTCAAATGAATTCATTCACATAGGAGAGGCGGGGAGAGACATTCTCATTTGGAAAATGTGCTGCCTTTCTAGTGCTCTCATGGAAGCTTTAGGGTAGTAGCTTTAAATCAATGTACACAGCCCTAAAGACTGATCAGGAAGAAGTTGGTGTACCTCGTCCCAAGGAAGCCTATTTCCAGATTGTCAGCATTCAGAGCTATCAAAGTTATCCAAAGTCCAAAATGAACCTGTGTGAGAAGATGCTTGTTGTCTGTCACTTCCCCAACCCACCTCTGTGTCACAACTGTCTTTCCCTCACTTTACTCAGGAGTAGCTGTCTCTCACTTACTATGCAAGTGGGCACTACTCTTCGGAGGTTATCCTCCAAGAGCAAAAAAGCCTCAGACTCAAAGGAGGGGACCTTAAGGGAAAGACCTACTCCTGAGAGAAGACCTCACAAAAGCAAAGCCAGAATTCTGAAAAAGGCAACATTTTATTTCACAGAGATTTCTAATTTAAAGTGATCTATGTCTTACCTACCTTGGAATTAAATTTTAGAAATGAGTTGGAGGATAAAGCATTCTCTTTGTTTATTAAATTTTAATAATTATTAAGAGAGATTATCTATATCTTAAAGCCATACTTTTTAAGAGAAAAGGCAAGTCATATTTAGCTAACTGACTTGACAATGAGAACTGCTTTAAAAATTCATTTATTTGCCATAAATTAAATCAACTGAAAGTCTATTCCAAAATTTTGACAAAAATTCATTCAATATATTTAGGCAGTATGTAATAGTTAACATTAAAATGCATCAGAGGTTTTTCAGAATTCTTGTAGGGCATACATAAGCAATTAAGCTTGAAGTCTGCTTCAGGTTCTTATGATGGGAGTGGCTAATGTCTCCCTCAGGGATCTGACAACCAAAAGCTGAATTTGTACAGCGTAGACAATGAAGCCTTAAAAATTGACACAAAGGTATTTATTATGCCATTATTCATTTAGTTATCTAACAGGTATTTATTAAGTATCACCTCTATATTATAAACCACTTCAAATATCCCACATGAATAGATATTAACAATGACACATGAATAGGTATTAACATTACAACATGCTGGGCATGGTGGTGCACGCCTACAATCCCAGCACTCCCAAGGCTGAGGCAAGAGGATCGTTGTGACTTTGAGACCAGCCTGGCTATAAAGTGAGCTCAAGACCAGCCTGAACTGCATAGCGAGACCCTGTTTCAAAAAAAGACAAATACACACACACACACACACACACACACACACACACACACACACACACATTGCAATCAATGTGCAAGGTACTGCAGTTAAAAATCACATCAAGTCATATAATAGTATCTTCGAGAGAGCAACCACCTCAGCCTTGACCAAGTCAATGACAAACATGCCAGCTGTGGAGGATGAAAGTGAGATCTCATACAACCAAGACATGATTATAATGTTCCAGGAAAATGGATCTGGGTGCACAGTGATGCAGATATGAAAGCACATTCTCAAGAATGGCGACTGGCTGTTTCATGTCTATATAACTAAATGACAAAGGGTGTCATACATAGAAGGAGCATTTTTAAACTGAAAAGAACTTGGACTGACAGAAGATTGCTGTTACTGATAATTTTTAATTCTGATCACCGAAGATGTTTATTTCGGAAATTTGAAGACTGCAGCAAGAAGAAAATAGAAATTACCTGTGGTACGGCCACATTTAACATTTTAATGGATCATTTTTTACTCTTACATGAAATAACAATAGACATTTCAACAGGATTCATAAAAATTATATCTACAATTTGCAACCTGTTTTTTTCTGACATCATGCCATAACTATTTTCACATACCATTTGAAGGACAGCATTACAGAGTATAGATAAACTATAAGTATCTCTTTATTAGATAGGTTCCCTTTTAGTTTAATCAATAATTCTATGATCCACAAACTTTGTTATAAATCTTGTGGCATATTTTAAAATTCTTGGTTTAGTACAAATTCTCAGAGTAGAATTTCCAGGGCAAAAGTATATAAAATTCCAAGTCTTTCAAAACATAGTTCCACGGACTAGAAGATACAGCCACAACCACAAACACACTCAGCCACCTTACCTTTGACAAAGGGGCCAAACATGTCCACTGGAAGAAAGATAGCCTCTTTAATAAATGGTGCTGGAAAAACTGACTCTCCACATGCCAAAGACTAAAACTAGGCCCATGTCTATCACCATGCACCAAACTAAAGTCAAAATGGACCAATGATCTAAATATTAAAACACAAACACTAAATCTACTGAAAGAGAAAGTAGGTAGAAATCTTGAAGACATAGGGGTAGACAGAGAGTTCATGAACAAAAACCAAACTGCACAGGAAATACTTCAAAGAATCAACAACTGGATCTCCTCTTATTGAAAAGTTTTTGCACATCTAAAGAAATCACCAGCAGAGTGGAAAGAAAATCCACAAATTGGGAAAAATTTTTAGCCAACTGTCCCTCAGAGAAAGGAATTCTATCTAAAACATATAAAGAATTTAAAAAAAATCAGGCCCCCAAAATTCAAAGACCCAATACAAAAATGGGCATCTGAGATGAATACATACTTCTTGGATAAAGAAATACAAATAGCAAATAAATACAAGAAAAAATGTTCAACATCATTAGTCATTCAAGAAATGCAATTTAAAATAACACTGAGATTCCATCTCACCCCAGAAAGAATGGCTATGATCAAGAAATCAACCAATAACAAATGCTGGAGGGGCTGTGGGGAAAAAAGAATCCTTCTCCACTGTTGACGGGAGTGTAGACTGGTGCAACCACTGTGGAAATCAGTGTGGGGATTCCTCAGTGAGCTAGGATTAGAGGTCCCATTCAACCCAGCTATTTCCCTCTTGGATATTTTTTCCAGAAGAACTGATAACGTCATACCACAGTGATACATGTGCACCTATGTTTATAAAAGCACAATTTGTAATAGCTAAATCATGGAAGCAACCCTAATGCTCATCAACTGAGGAATGGATAAAAAAGATGTGGCATTTTTATACAATGGAGTGTTACTCAGCTATAAAGAAAGATAAACTTGAGGATTTTATAGGTAAATGGATGCAAGTTGAGGCCAATTTCATAAGTGAAATAAATCAGACTCACATGTGTAAACATCATATTGCCTCCCTAGTGTAAGGACCTGAAAGAGTAAATAAAAGTGAAGGTACAACAGATATTGTGAAAGGGAAAGAAATTGGTCAAAAGGAAAGAACAACTGGGATGAGGGAAAGGAGAAGAGAAAGAAAGAAGGGAGGGAAATGTATATACACAAGATAGCTAAGATAATCATACTACTAGTTTCTACTGGTTTATTGAAAGGGACAGTTAATGTTTAATTGTTTGATCAGTCTTACATGCCAATATCTGGTTATCTGAATAACCACTTTAAAGATAACAATATATAATACAACAACCATTGTTAATTTCCTATCACCTTGTTTTCAAATTCTGTATCATTTTATAGTTTTTGTGTTGTTTTGTTTATGTCTTTTTGTTATTTTCTCTTTAAAATAAAAAAAAACATACTTCCAAATTTTCTTTTAGCAGGTATGAGAATACTAGTCTTCAGGAATGAGTTATCAACACTTGCATTTTGGATTTGATTTGGTTTGGTTTTATCTTTCTGAGTGTATATGTAGTTTTATATGTAAAAATGGAATTTCACTATTAATTTTAATTGCATTTATTTGACTTCTAATAGAACTGAACGTTTTCCATGTTTATGGTCCCCCTGGAGTGGAGAGGAATGGTCTGACGCCCTTCATCCTCATCACAGCCTGTCTGTTATCTTTCCAACCAGACAGGTAAAGTCAGACAAGACATCATAAAGAGTTGTAGCTTAAGTTTCCTGAGTTGCTGAGAGCATGAAATGAGATAACAGATTGGAAAGCATTTTATATATAGTGAAGTATCAGTCCATTCTTTAAAAAAATGAGTATCAATATGTTGAGTGGAAAAGGCCTTCAAACTGGAGAAACCTAGGCTGGTATATTAGCTCTGCCCTAGGTAGTTGAGTAACCTTGTTCTAGTTATGCAAACTCTCTAAGCCTCAACTTCCTAATACATAAATAGAAAATTTTACCTACTCTCACGTTCAATAAGAGGAAAGAGTCATATAATTCATTAGGGATTTGCCTCTCAAGTGTGTCATCAAAGGAGATGGAGAATACTCAGGAATGAGTGAGTTTATAAAGGGTGAGTGTCAGGAATGTCAAGTGCACACAGAACATGCAGGAAATTGAGAAACACACACGTGAAGCTCAGGAAAGAAATGAGGGTCGGAGATCTGTACGTAAGAGTCCTCAGCACACTGACGTCAGTTGCACCTGGTGAGGTGACGTCAGCACAAAATGCTGGGAGATGCTCGGGGGATACAGCGGCCCCACACCACTGAAGGGACAGGCAGGGCAGAATCAGAAGTCGTAGTTTTGAGCAGCTCATTAAGTTAAGTGATAAATTCTCGAGGAAAAGGACAGTTGCAGTAGATTGATGATGGCAAAACGCAGGTTGCAGTAGAGAGAAGTCCACAGTGAAGAAGTGAGAACAGTTTCGATAACAAAAGATGAGTGATAAGGCTTGGAGAATGAAGCTGAGCAGGCAAAGGCCAGGGGAGAAATCTTAAAACTTGAAAATACTCACATACGAGAGAGAAACCGTTGATAAAAAGATGTTGACACTTCCAAAGAGAGTAACTACAGTTCCCGGTTTAAGAAGCAGCACGAGAACCAGGCGTGGTGGCGCACGCCTGTAATCCCAGCACTCGGGAGGCTGAGGCAGGAGGATCGTTGTGAGTTCGAGGCCAACCTGGGCTACAAAGTGAGTTCAAGGCCAGCCTGAACTGCACAGCAAGACCCTGTCTCAAAAATACCAAAAAAAAAAAAAAAAGAAGCAGCACAAGAATATTTTAGACAATGGCAGGAGGAAACATACCTTTCTCTTAGACTGGAAATATGGACGAAATGATAATTACAAGGGTCAAAGAAAAGTTTTCAGCACTCATATGAAATGATGGTCTCTGTTTTCTCTGTGTATTGTAGAAGTCAAGACCACCTATCACGGGTGGACAGATCCTGAGAGGTTGGGGTTTTCAGGAAAGTGGTTAAAAATCTGGAACGCTTTTAGGGAAATGGTAAGGGAAACTAACTACAGACAAATGAAATGATTTTCTAACATGGAGTACAGGCTCAACTGAGGTTAAAACAATAAATGTATAAAGCTTAGAACTGAATGGAGTGTACAGTTTTCCCAGATACTACTTCCTTCTTTAAAGGTAATAAAGTCAATGTTTTGCACAGAGGAAGAAAAAAAAAGCCAAGGAAAAGGGCACTGAGAGTGCAGTTGGGAATGATTGGTCTTGGGATAATGAGAGGATAAACAGGAGAGGAAAATCCAAAAGGGAATGAGAGAATTAGAAATCTCCATGAAAGGCACTAAAGGTGGGATTAGAAGACACTGGTAGATCAAGAGGACTGGGTAGTTCTGGGCTGAGAAAGAAACTTCAGAGTATGACATTTCCAAGGCAAGATAAGTCTGATCACTAACAAATCTCAGGATATGACAAATAGATAACATTTCTGAAGTCACTGGGAAATACCAGTTCTATGGGCAGTACGAGAAGGATGGTTTGTGCAGATGCTAAAGTCCCTCACTTGACAGCAGAGGTTTAACAAGCACCACCAACTTAAGTAAATGCCATCTAGCAGTGTCTGGAGTGTAAGAGGCGACAGTCAAGACTGAAGGCCAGACGGTAGGCAGTGGATCAGTGAACGAGCTCTAGACTACGACATCTGAGTCCAAATCCAGCTTCAGCGCTAGTCAGTTGTGCAAGCTGAGCCAAGTCTATTAGCTTTTCAAAACCTCAAAATTTTTATCAGTGAAATGGAGTAGGAGTGTCACAGGAGTGTTACAAAGTGCTGTAGCTTAGATCTGACATGTTCCAGTTCCTTTCCCCACAGGCCTGTGTATTAAAAGCCTGGTCCCCAGCACACGGTGCTGTCGGGAGGAAGTGGAACCTTTCATTGGTGGGGCCCGGTTGGAGGAAGCTGAATCCTGGGGTGCGTCTTGAAGGGAATGATGGGACCACCGTCTCTCCCTCATCTGCCTCCCACTCAGGAAGGTGAGCAGCCCCCTCTGCCAGTTGCTCTGCTGTGCTGTGCCCAGAAACAACGGGCCTGCCAGGCATGGCCTGAAATCTCTGAAACTGTGAGGCAAAATAAATCTTTTCTCTTTTTAAGTTGATTGTCTCAGGCATTTTGTCACAATGACAGACAGCTGACTAAAAGATAAGAAGTAAATGAGACAAAACATATTAACTGTATCCTGGTTTCTGGAGCATTGTAAGGACTCAAGCATGCTACTTACTTTAGCAGATGGAATCAGAGGGGAATGGAGGGATTTGGCACCAGAGTAGGAGAACAATAATCTGAAGATTATAGTGAAAATATCAAAGCTAGTGATTGGCCCTTCATGCCCAAAAGGGCATTTGAAATTCCAAAAAGCAAAGTACTAAAATAAATCTGACTCACACTCTACTCCAAACAACACTTTTGCCAAGCAGATAAGGATTACTCCTTTACTTGTATCTTTTAAAAATGAAGTAAAAGGACATCGTATTGATCAAATTATATAAATAATCCAATTTAAGGTATAAGAGATTTAGAAAAAGGGTACTGGTTTTGTAACGCCTAGTTTTATTCAAATAATATAAATGATAAACTCAGGAGTTGTTCTTGGCAATCAAATATTTCTTCTCTTGAGGCTGAAAATTATATTTTTCTGACTGAGTAGTGTATAAGAGTTTTTAATAGTGAATGAAAATAAGTAAAACTTATTAAAAAAGATACATTGGTATATCTCCTCTCATCTTTTTCTTGACTGATATTTTATGTGAATGGTATTCTGATAAACACTTGCATAAAATATCTTAGTCTTCACAAAAAATTTTCTTCAAGATAAATATTGATATTTTCCAATTTATGAATGAAGAACCAGAGGCTTTTTGATGTTCAAGTAACTAGATTTGGATTACGTGAAGAATAAATGGCAGAGCCAGGACTGCAACTCAACCTCAAAACCTGTGAGCTTTGTGCTTCTGAATTTGTTATATGAAATAAATGTTATGATTTTAAATGCAAGAGGATTTTATACTGTACCTCCTATTCCTAGGCTTCTGCTTCTTAATTTATAAAGTTGGTATAATTTCTGCCATCATGCTAATATTATTTTTCACTCAGATGAAATCAGATTCACAAAGAAGAAAACACTCAAGTGTTCACAGAAAACAATTTTTTAAAATTCTCACCTCCTCCCAGAATGCTGTTACATTCTCCATTACTACTTCTGTAGTTGTTAGGTTATATTCCAATGTCTTATATTCTTGCTTTTGTAAGAAATCCTATTTATTAAAGAGAGCAAAAAACATAGTAGAATCAGAATGGCATTAATGCATCTTTACATCTATTTGTATTATAATAGTGCTACACCTTATAAATAGTTTTTAACAATTAGAAATTAACAAAAAACTATGTAATAGTGTACTACAATTAATTTGACAAGCACTGCAATTCATCATATTTGAAACACACTCTTTAAATATGTGGTATGTTATGAAACTGTCTTTGCACATAAGATTTTAACATACCACTGATTCTTCCTGATAATATCACATGTTAACCTTAGTGAAGAATTTATAAAACACCCTGACTTACTACCCATGTGCCTCAACTCCAAGTTGAAACAGAAAAAACCAACACCTTCATCCTTACAGCACATTTGAAATGAGATGTGTTATTAGCATTACTTCTCTGGGTTAAGAAAAAGTGTGAAAATTTGATATAATTAGTTTAAAGGCACCCAACTGTGATTCCAAGAGTGGGCTCTCTCAGAGATTCAAAACATTTCTTAGGGAAGTGAAAAGCGTAAGAAAGACATAATCCTGTGCATCCTGACATCCTCCACAAGGTGAAGTCATGGGAAAAACCTGCTGCTGGCCTGGCCTCTTCCCATTCTCCTCTGCTGCCTTCTCTTTGTGTCTTTTGGTTTCTCTCCTTTTCTCCCAGTTTCCACTTTTGCTTCTCTGTCTCTGTATTCCTGTTTAGTCACTCTCCGGTCCCTGTGATACGCACGCTCTGGGTGTCTGTCTTTCTGGGTGTCTGTCTCTCATCTCTCTGTCTCTCTGTCTCTCTCTCTGCTGTGATGAAGTTAGCAGAGGAAATGAGATTATTCTCAAAGAAACTACCATTCTGAGCTACACTCCCTACTTTACCTAAATCAACGATAAACTCACACATGCTCAGGGGTCAGATGCATGACACCGTTAAGGAAGGGGGCTGATAGTGTGATGAACTAGTCAGGGCAGGTGCTCTGAGACAGGGCAGCTGCCACAGCTTGCAGGGAAGGAGGACGTAGAGACATAACTAGATAAAGGTTCTGCAAGACGCTGAAGTGCTGTGTGGCGAGGTGGGGCTGAGATAGGAAGGACAAATCCTCATTTTTGAAGGCTGGCATCTAATGAAAATTTTAAAAATATAAAGTCCAAACAGAAAAAGATCTAGAAGTCAAAATCAGATCCATGGCCACTATCTGCAACCTCGAGCATAGATAACACAATGGCAGAACCACATATAAGTGGTCTCCCTTTCATACTTCATCTTCATTTCTATCACAGTGATTTATTTTCTGGGTTAAATATTTGAATACCTATTTAAAGACTATAATGAAACATTTTCATCTGCTAGGTCAACAATGCAAGTTCTTTCTCTTAGCTCTGTAGTAATTGAATCTCCTCACTGAAGACTTCCAAACTTCTGACAGCTGGCAGCCCCATCAGCATTGCTGGGATTTTAACATACTTAATAAGGCATAAAATGCCATTCTCATTCATCAAACTGTCCAGTGAAATGCTAGGAGAACTTTAGTAGGAACATTCCTAGTGATAGCTGAAAGTTTTATAACTGCTTAGTGAAGGATGTTTCCTTTTCAATCTTTCTGCACATTCACAAAGTTTATTAGAAGTGATCTATGCACTGATTTCTTAGGTGAAATTTTCCAGATTATAGGAATGATTATTTTTAATTTCTTTGACTTGTGAGAATTCTGTAGGACTTCCTTTTATGTGGCTTCTGTTATAAGGGCCACATATATACATCAAGAAAAGAAATCCTGTGCATTAGGTAAGTCTAAGACCAACAATTTATCCTTAGAGAGTTTTCTTGCTATAAAAGTTCTAAAATGTTCCACAAAATCATAGTATAAGGTGCACAGTTATGCCACTTTACCTGTATTTTATTTATTGCTCCAAGAGAGTCATACCATGTTTGCACAGCCCAAGGGAACTGCCGTGTGACTGCCATGCGCAGAACAATACAGAAAGAGATGGTTGTAAATATTTTTCGAAGTATAATTCCTTTGAGCAGCGCATAGGGAAGCACAGACAAAAACACCACAAAGAACCCTGAGAAGAAGAAGGCTGAGCTATTGAAGTATCTCACATAGGCTGCTTTCCGGGTCAGTTTCAGTTCTGTTCTGTAGGAAATAAGAATACAAAGATTTGGGATGTTATCTTATTTTTCAAATATCAGGCATTTTGGAATGTAAGATTTGAACGAGAGCTCCAGAGTGTTTCTGCCTGTGTTCTGATCCTGGCTGTACCCTATCTGAGCTATGTAACCTTGGACAAGAGGTGAAATCTCCTGGGCTGGTTACCTTATCTGAAAGGGAGACAGTAATGAATGCACCAATGTTTGGCACAAACACATACAAACATTGTTAAGGTTTTAATAATAATCATTATATTATTTTATACCTTTATTCACTTGACTATTAACTTGTAAGATTTATGAAGAGCGATGGTTAGTTGGTTGGCTTTTTGTTGAGTATGGAAATGAGGGCAATGCTGCCTGGTTTATGAAAAAGACAATTTATGATAACCAAATGCATTCTGAACAATTTAGCAATTCTACCTTGGCTCTGAGGAATACCAAAGTAACACGTGTATCTCAGGGGAATGGTTCACGAATGTTGGCATGGGTAAAGGAACTTACAGACACTTCTTAAAAGACCTTCTCAGACCACCTCTATGGATAGTGACCAATGTGTCTGCAGCAGATTTCCTGAAGCTGCATTTCTTTTTTTTTATTATTTTAAAGATAAACGAATGCAAACACATTAACAGACATAGGGGTAGGTAGAGAGTTCATGGACAAAAAGCAAACTGCATGGGAAATACTTCAAAGAATCAACAACTGGGATCTCATCTTATTGAAAAGTTTTTGCACATCTAAAGAAATCACCAGCAGAGTGGAAAGAAAATTCACAAATTGGGAAAAATTTTTAGCCAACTGTCCCTCAGACAAAGGAATTCTATCTAAAACATATAAAGAATTTTAAAAATCAGCCCCCCAAATCCAAAGACCTAATACAAAATGGGCATCTGAGATGCATACACACTCCTCAGATAAATAAATACAAATGGCAAATAAATACAAGAGAAAGCATTCAACATCATTAGTCATTTGAGAAATGCAAGTTAAAACAACACTGAGATTTCATCTCACCCCAGAAAGAATGGCTATCATCAAGAAATCAACCAATAACAAATGCTGGAGAGGCTGTGGGGAAAAAGGAACCCTACTCCACTGCTGGTGGGAGTGTAGAGTGGTGAACCCACTGTGGAAATCAGTTTGGAGATTCTTCAGTAAGCTAGGACAAGAGGTCCCATTCAACCCAGCTATTTCCCTTTTGGGTATTTTTCCAGAAGAACTCGAAACACCGTACCACAGTGATATATATGCACCCATGTTTATAGCAACACAATATGTAATAGCTAAATTGTGGAAGCAACCCAAATGCCCATTGGCTGAGGAATGGAAAAGCTGCATTTCAGAACAAGAAACCAAGTGATTCTGTTGCACGTGATTCTGGGAAATTAGGGGAGCAAATGCTACATTCTCTGTCTCTCATTTCAGTGTAATTCTTTGCAAGCATGTTATAGTTTCAACCTTCTAGTCTGAGTTGCAAATCTGAACTACTTTTTAGCAGATAAATGAGGTTCAAATATTCCAACAGGCAGGAAACAAGCACAGAGGCTGGGAAGAACAGAGGAGGATGGTGCTCTGAACCTCAGCCCCTCTCTCCCAGCTGGAGGCACTCATGATCTTCCCTGTCCAGGTCTTGCACAGCGGAAGAGCACTAGTGCTACAGAAAAGAGGCTGCCTGGTGGGGTGCAGCAGCAGCTGGGCTGGGGCTGTTTCTGCAGGGCACGTGACTTGTAGGTGCTACTTCTGTAAGCTTGTATAGTTCAGAGAAGTGATTCTCACTCTCAAGTGCAGAACTCAGAGGGAATCTATTTTTCTTAAATCTCAAAAAAAAATGCAATCTTGAGCACACTACTGGAAATGGAATTCAAGGTGCCTAGCCTAGAATGGGACCAGTCTAATGAGGTCTAGTGTTTACCTATTTCAGGAACCTAACATTAGAGACAGATTATGGTTTTGAAATCCCACCTAGGTTTCCGACTTGGCTTTGGCAGTTACAGCGATAGCATCCTAAGCAAGTAGTTCTTTCCTCTGATTTCATAGACTACACATCTAAAGAAAAGAAACATAATTCCTCCCTTGTTAAGTTCTTGTCATGATTTAGTTACAGTGTAGCCAGGGATCTAATATTTAGAATCTGCAATGTGTATCCTTTTCCTCAATAGGAATACATATATATATATATAACTTACAAAATTATAGAAAATATTGTTTACAAAAATGTTAGAAAAGTGCTAAAATTGTTGCTGAAATATATGAGAAACAATTGAGGAAAACAAAGAGGTTATATAAGAAAAGAAAAAGGGATCCAAGAACACTTAAAAGAATCATCCAGAAAGCAGTACTCACTGTAATAAAATCATTAACACTCTGAGTCATAAAGACAGTTTATCAGTTTCTTATAAAAAAATTGAGAGTGGCTTTATCACAGAAGAGCAATAAAAGGCAGATTTTCAAGGAGCTTTGCACCACAGCCCTTTGCCTAGTTCGGCAGTGGCCAGGGCTGGGGTAATCACCCCTTGGAAATGCATACTGTCAATCGCTTCCAGGGCATTATATTTGCTCTCTTGAGTAGAAGCAATTCTTGCTTTCCGTATTTACATGAATACTTTCCAACATTTAGGTAACAATTCCATGCTGGATTATACAAGATAAAACCAGATATTTGCCACTAGAATTGGTTGAACAGAAATACAGAGTGGGAAGAATGGATTTCATCATTTAAGGAAGAAGAAGAAAAAAAGAACTGTCAAGAAAAGTTAACCTGGAGAATAACCCGGCCATGAGTTTTGCCTGAGGCCTGAGAGAACCAGATCCTCTGATAACCTCCTCCCCACCCTTGCTAACCCCCCATGTGTGTAAGTACAGTGTGATGAAGGGCTCACTTGTTAATAAGGAAAAAACAACTTCTACCAACTGACCATTTCTCCTGAGATCTTTAAGGGTGTTTCCGGAAAGAAAAAGAAATTCCTTTCCTGGATTTGTCTTGAAAGGCATAATAAAAACAGGTGACTGACAATGTTTGGGAAATAAATACTCTTGTACTCTTTCTATTTACATGGCAAAGGACTTAACATTTCACTAGTTCATTTGTTGTTCCAATCACACACCTGTAGCTCAGTTAACTATTGTCCATGGAGTTCCTAATAATCCGTATTCGTACCATCCCAAGGAGTACTCTTCTTTTTAGTACATTTTTTCCTGTGAAACTTTCATGTGCCGTGCATCTTGCAATCGGTTGTCTCTTTAGTGATATACTCCCATTGTCTCCTACAGCCTTTTTTGATAGCATTGTATAGAATGTGGAACTCAACTACTGAAAAGTAGCTCCATGGCTACCAAAATGCTCTAGTTTATATTTTGCCCAAAATTGTCTCAGTGATAAATCTCAGTCTATACTGTACTTTTTCACTGGATATAATCTTCACTAATCAGTGAATGATCATCTGAGAAGAAAGAAGACTAGATATAGGTACCAACTACTAATTTTTTCTCAGAAAATGGCTTTCACTACTTGAGCTGACTTTGCCTTAATGAATAGTTTATATGAATACAACTTACAGATACTACCTCACGGCACTATTCCTAAATTAAAGAGCAAACAAAATTTGTCCAAATAGAGGTTTTCACCATTGTTCATGAGTTACAACATATAAATTAAGTAACGAAATAGCTGTCATTTATTTGGTTCAGAATTATATACTATATCAGATCCATTTAAGGTTTAATTAGCCTTAGTTCATTGTCAGTAACTTCTAATTTAATCTAAAAGTCCAACATGATAGATTCATTTTCTAAATGTTAAGAATAAAACCGTTAACAGTATTATTATCATGAAAACTTACTGTCTTAGGTTTTCAATCATTCTTGCCATTGCTTCCTCCCAGCAGTATGCTTTAACAGACTGGATATTGTCAATCATTTCTGAGGTGATCACAAGTCTTTCATTGATCTTTCCAGCTCTCTGATCTCTATAAACCAATCAACCAATAGTGAGAACAAGTCATATTATCCATTAAGAACTGCTCAAGTCAGGTGTGGGGGTGCCCACCTGTAATCTCCTCTACTCAGGGGGTTGAGGCAGAAGGATTGCAAGATCAAGGGCAGCCTATGGAATTTAGCAAGACCCTGTCTCCAAATGAAATTTTTAAAAAGGGCTGGAAATGTAGCTCAATGGTGGAATACTAGCTCAAGGTCCTGGCATGCACAAGGCTCTGGGTTCAATCCCCAGCACTTCAGAAGGAAAAATGTGTTCAAAGTTTCAAGAATAGCCACATCTCTTTTATTAAACAGATGGGCATTTATTTTACTATCAACTAGAAGGTAATAAAAATAATAGTTACCACTTAGTAAATGCCTCTTATGTGTCAAACACTGTAGTGAATGCATCCTAGACACACTAGCCTTGATCCTCATGACAGTCTATGAAGTTATTATTTCCTTTTCAAAGACCAGATGGAAAAAGTGTACAATCTGAGATCCAAGCAGTGACCTGACTCCAAAATTTGTGTAGTTTCTACCATACACTAGTTGACAAACTCTAGAAATCCTTTATCCTAAACAACAACTGGCATCATGGATTCATTCTGTAATAAAAAGAAATTAAGACCCTTAATGATCTTAAGGTTCTTAAGATGTGATGCTCTCTGAACCAGAGTGGGTGAAACTAATGAACTTTACACAAAATTTATGTATTTCCTACAATTCTTATAAATGTTGTATCCACTTTTACTTAAATCTTATGAACTATATAAATGCACTGAATCTTAATGTAAGTATAAAGAAGTTCTATGGACCGATAAACAAGAAACGTCCCATTGGTATAGGAAGTATTATTTACGCCACTAAAATGGCTTGCTTTTAGCGATAACATATAGATCACAATTCAGTGCCTTTTCAGATGATAAGAACAGACCGCTACCTGTACTTCATCATCATCTTCCCCAGCCCTGCTTGGAAAAGGGCCAGGATTATCAGGAAAGCAAGGCCGCAGAAGGCGGAGGCCTGCAACAAGTCCCAGAGGAGCCCCATCAGGAGCGCCACTTGCAGAGGAGCAATCCACACAAAATGTGCCAGCGCGAGTCCCTGGGAAACAGAACACAGCAAAAAACGTGGCATGTTACCCTCCACCCCCAAACCAAGCAAATGTACAATCTCATAGGAAAGAAAATAGCCTGGTATTTAAGCAATCAAACACTTCATGATTCTGAGTATGTAAAATCCAGGTACTGATTACTTGGAGCATACAGAATGTACATTCTACACATAAGACTGGGCTTTCCTAAGTCACTGCACTTTTTAAGTGTGTTTTCATTCAATGGAGTTGAGACCAAATACCTTAAGTACTGTGTAAAAAATCTATTTTAAGTACCATGTCTTTTTTGATAAACCAAAAGCCATCATATAGAACTCAAGAGAATGAAGGCTCAATTCACATGCAGCTGCACATCTCTGTGAAGTGACAGAGACACTGTGAATAAACACAGTGCCTGCTCATTTCAGCAGTAATTTATCTAGCACCTTCTGTAGGTCCAATGCTATATTAAATACTAGAAATGCAAAGATAAATAAAACATATTTTCTGTCCTCAAGGACCTTGAATTTAGCTGTCACATAACAGCACAGAACAGAAATTGCTCAAAGTATCATATTCAGGCAAAGTAAATAACCAGTTTAAAGTACTAAAAGGAAGCAAAGTTGGATAAGGATTAAGTTTTGAAAAACTAAGAGCGAGCTGAGGCGCCTTGAGTTGGACAGCGCCACAAACCTCACAGCGGCACTCTATTATGCACTGTAGGGTTCTCAGTTTCCAGAAAGAGTCAAGGGAGGTGTGAGCGAGACTTAACCACTCCTCACTGTTATCAGACACAGGAGCTTCAGCTTTGGGGTCATGCAGTTTCTAACGTAACTCATGAAAGATTTAGTCAATGGGTACATACTTCATCGAATTTGTTCAGGTTGTTGGAAAGGAGACTAACAAGTTGTCCAATGCTTATTTTATCTAGAACACGGCTTGACAGCTTTAAAGTCTAAAACAAAAATGGGAGGTTAGATGATGTCAACAAACAAAAGGCAAATATATTTAAAAGCAACATGATAAGCCGGGTGTGGTGGCGCATGACTATAATCCCAGCACTCAGGAGGCTGAGGCATGAGGATCATTGTGAGTTTGAGACCAGCCTGGGTTACAAAGTGAGCTCAAGGCCAGCCTGAACTACATAGCAAGACCCTGTCTCAAAAAGATTAAATAAATAAATAAATAAATAAATAAACAAACAAACAAACAAAGCAACATTATAATAAAGCTGAGGAGTCAGGCTACTGTGCATGCAGTTTTTTGTGAAGGTAATAAAAATTATTTTATGTTCAGTCACCTTTTATCATCTCAGATTTGCAAATATTTTTAACAGCAAATAGATTGACACCCCTCTAGTCATTTTATTTTCCAGCATATAAATAGCAATAACAATTTTTTCATTTCCACAGTGGTAATAATATTGTACTTAAATATTCATTTAAATAATGTGAGGTTCTAGGGAGTGGATTTGCTTTTACTTATAAGATGGAACCAAAGACACTGAAATTTGAGATTAAAATTTTGGCATTAAATTTTTCATGAAGTCCTACAATAACTCTTGAATAAAAGTGCTATTAAACTCAATAAAAGTACATTATGAATCATTAAATCATTAATAATTTTATGAAAGAGTATGTGAAAAATAAAAAATACTTAACTTTACAAAGAAAACCTGTGCTACTGTAAAATACTTAAATTGATAAATTATCTACAAATTAATTAAAGTTATTAAATTGTGATTATGGAACATCATAATAACACTTTGCCTGCAAAATATAATAAGAATTGATTTGCTGTTAGATACTCTGACTAGAAGGCACCCAGCTAATATTTGTTTCAAATGAATCAAATTAATCACACATTTATTGAGATTTAGCAGATGTAGTTAGCCATACTGATGCCTTAGCAATTAAGATTTAGTAAAACGTAATTCCTGCCTCAAGATAGCATAGGACATAAGTATGAGAAGCTAATGAATGGAGGGAAATAGCAAATAAGATGGTTAAAAGAAAGTTTATACTTCTGGTTAGAAAAATCTGGAAAGATTTGGTAGAGATGAGCCTGGAACAATGGATAGATAAGCAGAGATGAAGAAAGAATCAAGGGAATTAATTCCAAACATTATCAGAGCAGTACTAGCGGGGAGGGAGTGTTCCACTGATCTGGTTTTCATGTGGCTTACCAGCAGACCCAGTCTCAGGCAAACCTGAGTTCACACAGGGTATAATATGGAGGTGTGTGCACAGGAAGCATTTAGTGAATAGTTGTTCATCTATTATTTCTGAATTCTCAAGATTCACAGACAGAGCTCAACTTTGTATTTAAACTCATTTTATCAAGTATAATGCATCATGGTTGCAGACTTTGGAACAAAGCCAAGAGTGCTCTGCTGCAAAATTTGAAATATTATCAGAAGGGTCCTCCATGTCCCCACTGCGAGGATGAAGCAGGTCAGAGGTGAGGGAAAGCAAGGTCTGGCAAGAATCAAGACAAAGCTGTCTTTAGGAACCAAACCAGCCACACGAAGATGCAATTGCATTCTTTAGTGATGATGCTAAGATAAGACAGTAAGTGTCACAAGCAAAGCAGGTAAGAAACAGATATTCGGCCCTGAGAAAGAGAAATAGATACAGCAGCCTCCAACTGTGCATTAACTCACACTGGATCTGGCGCACATCTATTACGACTTACATTAAATACTACGCGCAGATTTGCTTGCAAACTAAGCTTACTCTTTATTTGACACCCCCTTTACTTACTCCTACATCTCAGGACTGATTTCTTTTTCCCTAATGGGTAGAAACTCTCTACTTCAAAGATTGTAATTTTCCCACTTTGAAATTTTGAAGCAGTTTTTCCACAAAATTCTGGGCTTTTAGGTCATTGTTTTCTCATCCATAACACAGAGATACTAGGTCCTTCCATATGGACTGTGGGTGCATCAAATGAGAACGTACACCGTAATCAGTTAGAAGTTTGCCAACACACACTTTACTGTTATTATTATGATGGTGAGTAATCCTTACAAATATTTATGGAACTAAATTCAACTTTGATAGCAAGCTGTTTGGCTTCTATTCCTAATAATTCCTCATTCTTGACTTATGTAAAATTTCTCAATCAAAATACAATTTTTATAGACATCATGAGACGTTTTCTGGGACTTCTGAACTGATGAGATTGCAGCTGAAAAGATTCAGTTAAACTACTGACTCCATGTCTCCCATTGCTTCTTTAAAAGCTTTTTTGAACAATAAAGGATGGCTGTTGAAATTTTTACAGCACAACTGACTTTGCATGTATTTCATGGAATTGCTATGGGTTACTTACGAGGTGAACTTCATATCTACCTCCCTTAAAAGCCAAATATATCAAGTTTTTATATTGAGGGAAGAAAGCAAAAAATACAGCAATAGCCAAGTGATTTAATCAAATGAGCGTTCTTTAATGACTTGGTAGAACCAAGCAGTCACATACAGTACTGTATCAGATTGGTGAAAGCGCCTCTCATACGAATGACCTTCAGCTGTGTTTGTAAGGTAGCTAAATGTTCATTTGAATTCACCTAAATCAAGCCTCAGAAACTTGGGCCCTTGTCTAGGTAATGCACACAGAGAAACAGAGTAAATTCTTATGGTTTCAATATATGTGCTCTTTTAAAATTTGGCAAAAGTAAAGGGGACCAAGAGCTGGAGAGGGGGTAGGGAAGGGGATGAGAAAAGAATTAAGATGTGTTACACACACGTTCCAAAGGAACACAATCACTGTACACTGCAAACGCATCAGTGAAAATAAATAATCAAATAAAAGAAGTTTCAGATTCACAGGATGACAGCAACCCAACTCAAAATAAGGCATTGAATAAATGTTAATCATTTGTGACAGTAAGCTTCACCACGTGTCAACTAGTAAAGGTGGAAATATTAATTGCTTAACAATCGTTAATAATTATGAATTATACTCTTGTTAGTGAACATAAAGCCTTATGGTGTTTTAGTACATATTTTGTCTATGACTTTTACACAGACTGTGTATTACTTTAATGGGGAACTATGGATTTAAAAAAAATTGACCACTGGGGTGGTAGAGCTCTTGCCTAGCATGTGGGAGGCCCTGAGTTTAAACCCCAGTATTGCAAAAAAAAAAAAAACCAGACACAAGCCCAATCATTAATGACATGGCTAAACATGAAACTTACAATATAGGCAGTTTAAAGATGCTTAATAATTACCACTTGAAATAAATTGAATCATCAAGGAAAATTAGAAACATTACTTATTTCTGCCATTTATTTCACAGGCATTTCAAATTAATTTCAGCATATCCCTTACTTGTATCACCACCTGCTTCAGGCCCTTAGGACATGTCCCATGGAGAACACATGGACCGCGAATCCGTACAAGGAAGTATTACCTTCTTATAAATCAAACTGAACATAGCTATTCTCATCTGCATTCCAATGTGCTGGAGGCCAAAGATGGCTGGGTGGAGGAGCAGCGTCCTCACGATAAACAGCAGGCACAAACCTATGCCTATGTAAATGGCGATGGAGCGTTCTGTCTTGTTATCTGGGTCATAGGAAGCTATGATTCTTCCCAGTAAGAGAGGCTGCACTGCTTTGGTGACTTCCTGCAGAAGAGGAAAAACAGAGAAATTATATTTCATTTCTGTCTTATGAAATACCCTCGCAATTTCTACACAGGAAGTCTCATTTTAGCTAGGTGTGGTGGTGCATATATGCAGCAGGGCACCTCAGCAACTTAGTGAGACCACATCTGAAAACAAAAAATAAAAAACAAATAAAAAGGGGCTGTCAGTGAAAAGGCCCTGGGTTCATCCTCAGTAACACACACACACACACACACACACACACACACACACACACACACATGGATGCGGTCTCATCTTTGAAGATTTTGAATGGACTTACAGAGAGGGTTAATCGTTTATGGAACTCCTGACACTAGGTATCCAATATCTGGATATTCTGAAATACGATTTGGTTTTTGGTTTCTAGCCCAAGTCATCAAGAGATAAATTCATATATTGGATATTTTAACTAAAAAATGAATAATAGCAATAAAATAAAGAGGTGCTTTGTGCAACGGTTTGTTAATTACCTATATGGCATAGAGCAGTTCCTAAAGTTATTCCCATTTGATTTGATAACATCTTTAGGACAGTCATAGTGGGCATTACAGTTTCATCTGCAGAGGAAGAAACAGGCCAACAAGACCAAGTGACTGGAAGTAATCTCAGAACGGAACTTGGAAAAGCATTTTGAGGAATGGTGTTATTTCCGGAATGAACATAGCTTCTCAGGATAACTGCCACAAAGCAGCCCTGGCTACAGAGAAGAGGGGAGCGCCGGCACTCACGATGCTGAAAAGCCAGCCACTTGCACTGCCGTTCCCTTCCCCGTCTAGGACAGGTTTGGATTTCAGTGAGGAATCTGCCAGTGGAACCTACATCAAACCAGTTTCCAACAACTCCACTCCTAAAAGGTCCTCAACTGATGGCTAGGCCAAACTGTCCACCAAATTCACTGCCATTTCTCCCAAACATGTACAGGAACACATTTGAACAAAGAAGTTCTAAATTTTACTCATCTTGCTAAATCATCTTCAAAAGAGAAAGAGACATAATCCCTCATTTTGCCTCAGAATGACCCAGTGAGCGAGCGGGAAGTGGGAAGACATCCTCTAAGGAATGATGTCATGCCAATTACCCTCATTTGAAATGTACAGGTCCAAGCCAGACTGTGCCCCACTGTACTGCTCTCTCTGCCCCCCTTCCATGTGCTTTATTTTCATTCTTCTGCACTGTCCTTTCTAAACCACGTGTGCCCAGTACCGCTAGCCTCTCACTCTCAATAGATGACCGTGTATTCCACATCAGCTTCATCCCCACCCGGAGTCATAGCCTACGTGCAGTTGTCATCGGTCTGACTGACCACTTGTTTTCTGTAGCTGCCCATTCTGTAGTCTGTATTCAAAACTTCATTTCACAACTGCAGAAACCAAGATCCAAGGGTAAGAATATATTCAAAACTTTAAAAGCTTCCAAAGTAATCACAAACGTGAACTATTATCATTCTTTTCTCTCATATAGCCATATTTTAAAGGAGTTTGATTTACAGCAAACAGGCAGGTGCTGAAAAGAAAATTGCTAACCTCCTACCCAGATGTAATACATTATAGTTTGCCATATCCACTAAAGAAAACTTATTTTTAAAAAGTGCATAATTACTACTTAGTAGTACTACTATGCACTCTTTGTACCTACACTACATTGGTATACATCTTATATTACATAGGTATGCATCGTATATATACATCTTATATAAGAGTACACTTTTAGAATATACATGTAGAATTATTTTTGAGGTTGAAATTTTATGTTAATTGCATTACAGTGTGCTTTTTGCAGTTTTTTACTCAACGCTGTTTTTGACACTTATCCCACCAATGTTTTACAGCTACTTTATTTACTTTCACGCTATTTAATGTACCGCTCTGTAGGTAAAATATCAAGCTATTTGCCTATCGCCTACCCTGGGGTAGCTTGTGTAGTTCCTACTCTTAATCTTTTACAATCAGTGCAAATATTGGCGGGGTTGTTTTTATGAGGTTCCTTATGTACAGGCCAAGGTTTGTCTAGACCAGATGATTTTATTTGAAAATAATCTTTAAATTAAGAAATTTATTTAGATTTAAAATTATGTATAAATTATATCTGCACTACAAACAGTTTTCTGTAATGCATTTCTAATAACAATATTTAATCATGAAAATTATTTTCACATTAATATTTGTCCCAGAATTTTTAATAAGTTGTTTTTCATAGACATCGTGGTTTGGGGTTTTTGCAAGGGAAAACAGTATAATACAGGACACCTATTTTATAAGATTACTTCTAATAGTCACCCAAAGAATCCAGCTTAGGGTCTGGATCCCACAATAATGTCCTGCATGATTTCAGCTGAAGACCTAGAGCCCATAACAATGTCCCCTATGAGTACAGCTGGAGGCCTAGAGCCCAGGACAATGTCTCATGCAGGCCTGTTTCACGGATCTGCACTGGGAAGGCCCAAAGGTCAGTGGTGGAATCTAGAAAGTCTGTGCCAGTGGGATGAAGGATCTGTGCTAGCAGGCTGAGGGATCTGCACTGCAGCCCCAGGAAGCAACACTCAAAATAAGAATCAGAGCTCCCCTGCAAAGTACCCCAGCCATCCTCAGCAACAGTGGGGTCCAGAGCACCTTTCCTCCAGTGAGAAAGAAAGCCAAGTTCCCATCAGGAAAGCCAATGTGACAGTGCACCATCTTCCCCTCTGGAGCCAGGAGGTGATGCTCAAAGAGAGAACCAGAGCTCCCCCAAAGTGAACGGAAGCCATTCTCAGTGACAAGGCCCCGAGCTCCTCAGACAACGAGAACAGCCAAGTTCATCAGGAAAGCCAGCGTGACAAGGTCCTCCAAGAGAACCAACAGCTCCTTACAGCCTCCACCAGCTCCCAATAGCCTCTCTTCTTCTTCTCCATTCTGCCTCTCACGCTGCTGGCTACAATCCCCAGGTGGGTTTCCCACCCCCAACACCACGCTGATCCAGTTCAGCTGGGAGTTACAAGTTGCCCACCAGTTACCAGTTCACCACAACCACATTTATTTGATTTATTTTTTCCATTACTAGTGGGTCTGCCCTTGGGCAAAGTGGTCATCTAAACTGTACATGTTGGGAGTATCATCTGTGGCCATAAAGCAGAGAGCAGAGAGTACTTGTGTTTCCTACACATACAAGATAAAGCATCAGTCCTTGTTCACGGTAAGATAATAACTAGAAGGGTATGGAGTGTGCTTGCTGCCTAAGAATCCAACTGCTTCTATTATGCTTAGCATAAATAACTTTCTCCCTTTTTCAGAACCCACTTTAGAGAAAGATACTTATTAGACTATATCCAAAAAGATACTTATCAGAAAGATACTTATTAGATACTATATCAGAAAAAGGTACTATCAGAAAAAGATAGTATAAGATACTTATTAGACTATGTCAAAAATTATAGAACCACTGGTAAATACCACATTGCAGGAAAGTGTTTCAACATTTCAAAGGAGTAGCTTCTGTCTATAGAATGTTAAGAGGAGTAGTCTGAAAAAGAAAGAAATGTTTTAGTAACTGAGCTGTAGCACAGGATTTTGGAGGTTAGAGACGGACAGGCTTGAGAAGGGGTTTTTGTGTTAAGTAATTTGAACTAAATTCCCAGCCACTGCACCTCCATTATGTGTTTTCATAATCTGTCATCTCTATCACAATAGATTCATTTCCTGAATTGTTATTTAGTTGCAATTTACAAAAAAACCAATCAAAATTGGTGTTAATCTGGAAGGAATAGCTCTTCGTGTTAGCTGTCATCGTGCCTCGTTGAGAACTTGCTCATCCCTTGAGTGACAGTGATTATTTAAAAAGATACTGGTAGTACTACTTTGAGAGAAATATGTTCATCGAATAAAATGCAGTTTATTTTTTGCTAGAAAAATTCTAATAACAGGGTCATCTTCTTATAGCAAACCAACACAAACTTCACCACCACATAAAGCCATTACCATTCTAGGACAAAATCAGTACTTCAAACCTCCTCCCCAACTGCAGTTCTCCCTAACCTGTTTAATGCAGCATGCTCTCGAGTATTTACAATGGAACCATTTACAGATATCACCTGATTTTTTTTTAATTTGGAAAGGAAAACAATGGCACCTGATACCTAGCTTAATCTATGAAGTGCAGTCCTTTACAAAATTCACCCCTCGAGAAACATATGTGTGTATTCTTCTTACATGAAATCTACACGTACTCTTGCTCAGACTATTTTCAGAAACACAAGGAATTTCCTGTTTTGCTACTACATGGAATAGTATAAGCAAACTGAGAATTGCATGTAAGGAGAAGGAAGATAAAATCATTTAAATTGTTTAATAAAATATTTTATTATACCTTATCAAGCAAAAATCAAGATGGAATTCACTTCACGGCTCACTTAGCTAATAGAAAGAAGCCTGATACAAACATTTAAGCCGGTGTGACAGTGAAGTGAACACTGAATTCAAGATTGTGAAACTCAAATTCTTATCCCAGCACATGAGCTACATTCCCTGCAACACTGTAGTTGCTTCCATTCTCTGGATAGTTTTCCTTGAGAGGCGGAACAAGCCTATTTCGAAGGTCCTCTCTAGTAATAACTTCTCTTATATGATCTGCGTCTGCAGAGTGCCATGGCAGAAGCCAAGGATTCCTGTCCCGGCCCACGCTCTGCCGTGGTGATGGATGTGTTCTCAGAGGGGAGCAAATCCGAACAGTGTGAGTTCAAAATACCATCTCTGGAGGAGGAGGTGTCAGGTGAGAAAATAACTCACGTGATTGCATTCCTGATGGGAGTAACCTTGGGTCTCATCTTAGGTCAGTCTCCCAGGGAAAATTTAAAAGCCTGAACATGCCTCTGAGGACACTGAATTGCTATCTCAAAGATTTATTTTCTAGACCAGAGCTCGAGGTCACTGTGGGTGAATATAAACCCTTTAGCCATTTCTGATCCACCTGCACTCCTAGGTCAGCGGCTGAGTCCTGGAGATGTGGAA